AAATAAATATTTTGATTCATTAATATTTTATTTTTGCAAAAATGATATTGCAAGTAAAATAAATTCTGAAGGACATTTTCATTCAGATCATCCTAGCCTTTACCTAGTTATATTTGGTGTATTGTAAAATGTGCCCAACTAAAGTAGTTATATTTACTTACCTGGTTACCTGTGTTTTTACGGTGTGCTGTGATATGTTAGGTGAGCTCCAGCTGCTAGGCATAGGTTGACTCTTTCTACAACTACTAACTTTTGATATGGTAGAAGGATCACAATATTATATCATTTTTGTATTCCTCACAATATTTACCAAATGTGTTCTTCGTAAATGTTGTGTAATATTGTTATGATTCTTCTATCTTATTAAAACTTTCTACAATCTGCAGAAAGAGACATAATGTATTTATTATAGAAATGTTATTAAAGGCCTTGATATATAACAATTAAGTGCCACTGGCCCTCCTGCTGCACCAGATGCCAAGCAGTTGTTTTGTCAGTGATGGTAAATGGCCTGACAAGTAAACCTATTTATTTGTTTTTTAACAATGTTCATGAACTGTTGATTCCACGTTTCAAAATCTTGTGTCTGACAAAATGCTCTAGGTTAGTGTACAGCAATACTATACATTTTTCTTTAGACAGAGCAATTCATATATCATAAATCTGTGGGAAAATACCTCTTAAGTGTATTGTTTACCATACTGCACAGTGATATAAATAGGGAAATTTTTAAGGTAAATGTTAGACTGGCTAGTCAGGATGAGGGTATAGTTAAAAGAATATTATATTTTTAATACTAATACTTTTTTTTAACAGCAGTACACAGTAAGTTTTCCATGTCTCCTAAATTTCAGAAGTTTATGAATATGACAGTGACTACTATGTAAGCGAATATGATGATGTACCATTAAGTATTAGTCATTCTTCTGAAGATGGGTTGATTGGTCCTTCAGTCTCCAACTCTGAGAAAGTTCAAGATCAGAGAACTTATTTTCCTGAGACTTGGCTTTGGAAGATTCATATGCTTGAGTAAGATTTCTTACTTGTTCTAGTATTACATTTAAGCTTGCATATGTGGGGTTTAGGAGGTATACAAGATAGCAAAAATTCAGTTTTTCCTAAGCTTTCACTAATAGAAACAGAATTGGAATGAAAGTCATTGTGTGAATAGATAGCAAGCAGGCAATAGATGATAAAGAAGTGCATGAGGAATTGTTCTTTGGTCATGATTTTTTGTCACTATTTTACAATTATTTTATGCTTCCAAATTGGAAATATTGTAATATCTAAAGCATATGTAGAGGTCTGAGAAGCATTTTTAGAAATAGATTGGTATTTTTTTAGTCCTCACAATCATAGATGAATTGAAACTTGCATTAGAATTGAAAGTTTTTTAATACAAATATTAAATAGTTCCTTATTTAATTTTCAGTAGTAATTTTAGAGTCTGTTAATTCATATGATTACACTAGATTTGGAACCATATATTCAAAGGCCAATTTCAGATTTAAAGATGATTCTAGCATGCCATCATCCTTCCTTTATGCCTATTTTTCTTAAAAACAAAATACTGCGTATTGAAAATCACAAAGTTCCCATTAATGAGCAATATTACTACACCATATTTAAAATTTCATACATTTTGATTTGCACATTGAGTAGACCCATTGGAACATTTGCTTTGTATTGAGAAAAATTGTTTTTATGTCAGCTTTATCTAACATTACTTATGTATATTATTATTGATAGGATATTGTTTAAAATGCATGTTTTGTGCTAGTCAGTAATAATACCTATGTAGTTATGCTCGCCATACTTTTTTGCACTAGTTTGTTGTGTTATCTAGTGCCTTTTTTCATCCCTAGATCATCTTTGTGTTTTATCAAGGAGAAAACAATGTGAGATTAGATATTGCATACATAAAATTTTGAAACAATATAAAAATAAATGTACAGTATGTACTGAATCAGTCAGATGTTCTTATTGAGTGGGAAGCATAGTTACTATGCCTTGTGAGAGCAGCAGAACTTCATTTGGTACTTATTTCTTGTTTTGATTGAATTTCATAATCAGTAGCATATTTAAATTTTTTACATGTATTTTCACTAATGTTTTAGCAAAAAATTGAATCCATGTGCTATAGATGATTGAAATTTGATTGTACAGTAAGTTTGTCTTTCAAAAATCTGGTTTTCTATAGCCTTCATCTTTTTTTTAGATAAAAATAGGTGTGCATCTTTATTCAATTTTGAAACTGATACGTACAACCATATCCAAGTAGTCCCATGCAGGTGTCCTTTGGACTTAGTAAAAAATATGTTATATACCAAGAATCTTTAAAATTGTGCTGCAGCTGCAGTCGGCACAAAATATATAGATTAGATTAGTGTTTGACCTACATAATCCAATATACAGTAATTGCAAAAAAAGCGATATATGCAACGTATATGGAATAAGTGTTTGTTCTTGCAATCTCTAGATACTCACTTTTAAGACAACTATAGCATAACTATAGTACACTTTTTGCCAAACACCTGACATATTGTTAATATGAAATAATTGTTAAGATGATTTCTATGGTGGTAATATGCAATTTACCATAAATGATACCTCACCAGTATGGGTGCTGAACAATGGTATGTGACAGATGAAGCTTCATAGTATATTTCAAATATTACATTCTCAAAATTATGAGTTTGCAAATTGTCATCATCATTATAGCCATTATTTATGATAAAATTATAATGTTAAAACTATTACTTTTGGTACTTCATTGTCAAAATGATTGTCATTATTTATATAATGATTGATATCATGTTCATTTTTTTGTATTATTTTCATTATTTATATCATTATTATTATTATTGCTTCTATTACAGTTATCATCTTGGTTATTATAACTGTTGTTAGTAAAATATTAATGTCAGTTATTCTTATAATTGCTATCTATGTTATGATTACTCATGTATTTAGTATATTCATCCCTTTGCTACTTCCTTTGTTTATTCCTTCACTTGTTTCTTCACTTTTTTCTTGTTTGTGATATATGCTCCTTATGCCTGAAATTGTATTTCATGTGACTGTGGAGTTGAAACCATTTCATTATGATACAGATGGAGGGTGAATATTAACAAAATGATTTTTAAAAAATCACACACACACTCACACCACACACACCCACGCACACCACACACACCCACACACACCCACACACACACACACACACACACACACCACACATACACACACACCACCATACACACACACACACACACACACACACATACACACACACCACACACATACAACACACCACACATACACACACACCACACACACACACCACACACATACACACACACACACACACACACACACACACACACACACACACACACACACACACACACACACACACACACACACACACACACACACACACACACACACACACACACACACACACCACACACACACACACACACACACACACACACACACACACACACACACACACACACACACACACACACACACACACACACACACACACACACACACACACACACACACACACACACAACACACACACACACACACACACACACACCACACACACACACACACACACACACACACACACACCACACACACACACACACACACACACACACACACACACACACACACACCACACACACACACACACACACACACACACACACACACACACACACACACACACACACACACACACACACACACACACACACACACACACAATGATACTGATGGAGGGTGAATATTAACAAAATGATTATTAAAAAAATCACACGCACACACCACCCACACAACACACACACACAACACACACACACACACACCACATACACACACACCACATACACACACACCACATACACACACACCACATACACACACACATACCACATACCACATACACACACACACACACACACACACACACACACACACACACACACACACACACACACACACACACACACACACACACCACACACACACACACACACACACACACACACACACACACACACACACACACACACACACACACACACACACACACACACACACACACACACACACACACACACACACACGCACCACACACGCACACACACACACACACTATACAGATGGAGGGTGAATATTAACAGAATGATTATTAAAAAATCACACACACACACACACACCACACACACACACACACACACACACACACACACACACACACACACACACACACACACACACACACACACCACACACCACATACCCATACACACACACACACACACCACATACACCACATACACCACATACACACACACACATACACACACACACATACACATACACACACACACATACACACACATCACACATACACACATCACACATCACACATACACACACACATCACACACACACACACACACACACACACACACACACACACACACACACACACACACACACACACACACACACACACACACACACACACACACATGGGGAAGGGGAAGTGATAGGGAAATAGAGGGGACTTAAAGAGGAAAAGGGGATGGGCAAGAAGGACAAGAAAGGGAAGGGGAAGAGAGAAGGGGTTTAAAGAGAAAAAGAGGATAGGGGGAGGAAGTGAAAAGGGTGAGGGAGTGAAGGAGGTAGGGGAGGTTAAGGAGGAAAGGGAGGGAAGTAAGAGGAGGCAGGTATAGGGCTGAAAATAGGGGGGGGAAGAGTGAATTTAATAAATATTTGGGAGTGAGAGGAGGGGACGGCAGAGTGGGAAGGGGAAAGGTAGAGTGAGGGAAAGGGAGAGGAAATAAAGGAAAAAGAAAAGGGAGAAGGAAGGAGGAGGGTGAAAGAGGGAGAGAAGAGGTGAGAAATACCTCTTAATTTATGATAATGATAATGATGATAACAATTGATATGATCATAGTAACAAATTATAGATAAGTGGAATCTATGATCTAAATGCAGCAAATAGATTTAACACTTTTATAAAACCCACTAACGACGGGTGTCCCATATATGAGACACCCGAAAAAATAAACATTGCCAGTGTGATGCTGTATCAGGGCTTGTGTTCCGATGCAGCAGTGGGCCACGGCTGATGTGTGGGCAGAGTCCGGGCCAGCCCTGCGCGCCGATTTTGTAGCCGCCTGGAATCTTTTATTTTCGGCTTCAAGATAAACTTGCGTTAATGGGTTAAGATAGAGTTTCGCAGTTTTCACTGCTATAATGAAAAAAGTGAAATAACATTATTATCAGGATTATGCATTACAGACATTTTAAGTTAACTGTATAAATGTAGCAAAGAGATTATGCATTTAAGGGAATGGTTTCCATGTTGGTTAAATCATACTAAAAGAGAGAATACAGCACATAACATGCAACAAATCTATAAGTTGTGCCTGTCAATGGTTTATTCAAGTAAGCTATCAAAGATCAATAACGTGTTTCGATTATTTAAATATAGGTGTTTTAAAATTGACTCTTCCCTCCCAAAACCTAGCTCGTTGTCGTTGTGGGAGGGCTTAAGAGATGGGGACTGAGACCCAGTGTAGAGGATTACCCCTACCTTGGGCCTCAGCCCTTGCTGCAACTAATTTTGCTTGGTCCTTTCTTCTCTTCTTTCCTCTTCTGTGTCTTCTTTATTCCCATCATCTATCCCATTCCTAAGGTGTGAGAGCTGTGCTAAAAAGATGAAAGGCTGGCTTTGTGTCAGTCATGAATGGCGTCCGGGAGCCAAGGGCATGGTATTCCCTTGGTTAATTACTTAGCCCTTACCCCTTATGGAGACCCTAAGGGGTAGACCGTTTCTTTTCCTCTGTTTATTTCGGCTCACCATGGCCAGTAATGAAGATTCTTTACCCTTAATAGAGGCATTAAGGCTTGCCCCTTCATCAAATAGCGTATCTGAATTTGATTTTGATGGTTTTCTGACCCCTGCCCCTCCATTGACCTTGGCTCCGACCACTGAT